TTATATAATTTTTATTTATAATTTTTATATATCATTAGTTAAATAAAAATAATTATTAAATATTATATAAAATTATAAAAAAAAAATTGTACACAAAATTTATTTCTAAATCATTTTCCTTAAAATATCTCCTAGGAGTCTTTAGATCAAGCTCTAGTTAAAGAATTTTGCTGCTAAGGTAGTAAAAAAAATTGAAGTCGTATTTTACTAGGATTAAGAAGTCATTTTGTATGTTTTGTTTTACTTTACATTGCTAAATCTTCCCCTCCGATACAATTTCGGGCAAATCTCTCTAATAAAGAAAGAAGTTAGCCCAATCGAGCAGGAATATGCGCTATCAACTACATGTCTACCTATGATGTCAAAGAAAAAATAAAAAAGTGCAATGCTTGTACTAAAATCTCTCACCAGTGATACTGAGGCAGACCATTGGGGCTAGTTCCCAGGGCAGTATCCACATCACATGCACTGACGAGAAAAAGTAAAAGGCAAAGCAATAGCTGCACACCACAACATCCTCCAGCAAAACAACAAGAGTTACATCTTTGAAAACTGGAAGTAGGCACGATAGGGCACCTGAGAAAGCATACATTTTTCCACGGGAAAGGAAATTTTTAGTGACGAAAACCAAAACCATATAAAACTGAGGCAGCATTATTCCCATTTCCGACCAACTTACAACTTTAGGATGCTAGAGCGCAAAATGGTTTCAGAGCACCTATACCACGAGCTAAATCTAAGTAAATTTGATAACCATTTTCCTTTTAGAGGAAAAGAATGAATAAGAAAAGGTAAGGAGTTGAGTGAGCAAGACCATGGAAACGAACAAGTTGATGCGTGGAAGACTGCCCCCTCAAATCTTTCTATGGTCAAACTGCAATTTGCTTACTGACATATTTGCTCAAACAAACTTACCTTTTCCAATGCCTCCTCTGAGTCTCTGACTATGTTCCTGCTACTTTACAGAATATTTTGATGCAGACAAGGAAAAAGAGCATATTGAAATTAAAGGAAGAAGAGATTAATTGAGAACAAAATGACTCAAGCTATAGTCTTAGCTGATACCTGATTTGACATTAGGTTATATAGAATGGACTCTGGGAACAGAATATTTCATCCAAAGCTTTAGACTTAGCTGCCTTGGTTCTGCCTTTTGATTTGTTCTTTCTTCTTCGCTGGTGCTTGCTAGTGCAGGAAAAGAAAACGTATTACTAAAGGATAGAAGCAAATGAGAAAATAGGTCATATTCAGAAAAATTAGGAAGATGAACAAAGAACTGCAATGAAACAAAAGACATATAAAATCTCGAAATGTAATTAAAAATAGTTGCAAGGACCATAGCAGCAGAACACAATGAAAGATTGAACAAAGTTCTTACAAGAAAGCCATGACCATATACATCATCAAGAAGTTTAATACAGGAACAACCTGAAACTTGAAAGTAAATCTGCTTCACTAAAGGAAAGCAGCTCATTATGTAGGATTAATGAAAAAAAAAAGAGAGAAAAAAGAAAGAAAGAAAGAAAAAAAAAAGGACACAATATAATAACACCACAGGACAGAAGTCACAGAACAATGAAGAGAACAGCACACTTGAAAATTCTCAATACTCCTCTCCCTCTTCGCCATCATCGCCCTCAGCAGACTCAGCTCCAACTTCCTCATAGTCCTTCTCCAAGGCAGCAAGATCCTCACGGGCTTCTGAGAACTCACCTTCCTCCATACCCTCACCAACATACCAGTGCACAAATGCTCTCTTTGCATACATGAGGTCAAACTTGTGGTCAATACGAGAGAACACCTCTGCAACACTGGTAGAGTTGGAGATCATGCACACGGCCCTCTGCACCTTAGCAAGATCACCACCAGGGACAACAGTTGGAGGCTGGTAGTTGATACCACACTTGAAACCAGTTGGGCACCAGTCAACAAATTGGATTGTGCGCTTGGTCTTGATAGTGGCCACAGCAGCATTGACATCCTTTGGCACCACATCACCTCTGTACATCAGGCAGCAAGCCATGTACTTACCATGGCGAGGATCACACTTGGCCATCATGGATGAAGGCTCAAAAGCGCTGTTTGTGATCTCTGCAACAGAGAGCTGCTCATGATGGGCCTTCTCAGCTGAGATCACAGGAGCATAAGATGAAAGCATGAAGTGAATCCTCGGATATGGGACAAGGTTGGTCTGGAATTCAGTTACATCCACATTTAAGGCACCATCAAACCTCAGGGAGGCAGTCAATGATGATATCACCTGAATCATGCATAAGAAGTAAATAAGACCCCTCTGTGACCAAAAGAAAAAAAATCTACAGCAATCAAGAAAAAAGATTTACCTGGGAAACCAGGCGATTAAGGTTGGTATAAGTGGGGCGCTCGATACCAAGTGAACGCCTACATATATCATAGATGGCCTCATTATCAAGCAGCACTGCAACATCTGTATGCTCCAGAAGAGAGTGTGTAGAGAGAACACTGTTGTAGGGCTCAACAACTGAGGTTGAAACCTGTGGTGAGGGATAAACAGTGAACCCAAGCTTCGACTTCTTGCCATAGTCCACAGAGAGACGTTCCAGCAGAAGAGAGCCAAGTCCTGATCCAGTGCCACCACCAACAGCATTGAAAACCAAGAATCCTTGGAGGCCAGTGCAGTTATCAGCAAGCTTGCGAATACGATCCAAGCAAAGATCAACAATCTCCTTCCCAACTAAAGAAACAAATGGGATCTCAGTCGTTAGCATTTCAACAACTAAGAATGTTTAAAATTCAACAAAGAGATCTAGAATAATTACTGGTGTAATGGCCACGTGCAAAGTTGTTAGCTGCATCTTCCTTCCCACTAATAAGCTGCTCAGGGTGGAAGAGTTGACGGTATGTGCCAGTCCTAACCTCATCAATAACAGTAGGCTCGAGATCTACAAAAACTGCACGAGGAACATGCTTTCCAGCACCAGTTTCACTGAAGAAGGTGTTGAAAGCATCATCACCTCCACCAACAGTCGAATCACTTGGCATCTGGCCATCAGGCTACACAACACAGAAGTAACTATTACATATGACATTCAGTAACTAACATATTCACAATGACACAAACAGCTTACGGGATATCATAATTGAGATCTAGGATTTTACATCAATCAAATATGGCTACTTAAACACTCTTTATTGCAAAAACATTTCTGCATAAAGGCTTAAATCTATTTACACAATATATCTAACACTACCACAGATTCCCAGCATTGAACGAGAAATAGGAAATAGGAATCTCATCTTCAACTCTTTTTTTTTTTTTTTTTTTTTAATTTTGGATTGCACAAGAAAAGATAATTAATTTTTATTTTTTAATTCATGTCATTCTTATAACATGTAATTTAAACTCAAAATTTTAGTTGAAAGATAATTAATTTTCTTAATGGCCACATCCCAGAAAGAGCAGATGAAACCGAAAAAAGTTCCAAATCGGCCCTGAGATGCATCACTGAATCCTAAACCACAAATACTAGCTTACTCTCCTTGTGCATTCTACGTTCTATTATTCTCAGGAAGTATAAGTAATCTCCTATTATCACAACAACAAAATTATTGTCATGGCTATATGCCTATATCCACAAGACCTGTACTTCTGGAATGGAAACATGCAACAGAAAAGAAATTGCATCATCAAGCATTCAGCAAAAGAAAAAACAAAACTGTAAAGGTACAAACACGAGAGATCAAACATTGATTTATTCTTATTATGATTGATTTTTATTTTTTCCACATCTCGATTTGGGATCAACAGTCGACAAGGGGAGAAGAATGACCAGATCACATATAAAATGATAAATCAAGACATCTATGAGCAGAAGGTGCCTTAGACAAGACCTCCCCCAAGGACTGATCCAGATCAATCTTCATGGCCAATGTCATGGCCATAAGAATCAGCAGAAGAATCCTCTTCTGGGTCACAAATAGATGCATCGCTTACTCCAATAGAGGTTGGTGTTGGTGAAGCAACATCAACCGAAAGCCCCTGCACACGTTTCTTCAGTTTCTCAAGAACCACATCCAGCGTTGACTTCCATTTTACCAGCTCCTCCAAACTGAGGTCCTCAACTGTTCTAATCATCAACCCTCTCTTTTTCTGGCCCTCCATCCTCATCTTCTTGAGTTCCTCGGCCCACTTTTTCTCAGCTTCTAATTCTTGGAGCGGATTGGAGTACTGTTTGTTAAGCTCACACAGAGTGGCCTCATCATCATTTGGGACATTCTGACTTGAATCAGATGCAGGTGTCCCAAAGTTGGCAATCCGCTTCACAACTGGGCCAACAGAGGGGTGGCCAAATGAGAAGAAGGCTTTGACACCAGGAGAGAAGATAGCAAAAGCGGCCTCAACAGCACATAAGGTGCAGAGCTCACTAGCCTTCTTGACAAGGCCAGAATGACGTTTGGAGAACGCAACTTGTTGAGCATTTGCACTTCGAATCCTCCTGATCTGAGTCCTTCTGCGGCCTGCACTTGGTATTCCTGCCATAGATAAACAACAGTGAGAAAAGAGATATGTTGATGATGGATGGAAAAATTTAGGGGAGAAACACAGTTATTTATAGGGCCGTGATGCCTTTGCTGATTGCTCAGGGCCACCCAAGTCTTGTATGCTGATTGGCCATTCTCCATTTCCTTCCATATATGTCCTTGCCAAGAATGGAATATGAAAAACGCATACCGGCTTTTGGCAGCACACTGAAATTTCAATTCTAAAATATCCTTATATGGCATACTTAAACTAAAGATGGACTCTTATTTATAAGCCTACCATAGTAATCTGCACAAAAAATAGTAAGAAGCTTACCAAAGTTATCAAATGTTAAGTGTCCTAAAAAAATTAGCCATTCCCAGCAAAAAAAAGTAACAAGCTTACCAAAGGTATCAGATGTAAGACTCATATTTAACATGTGTATAACGTTTCTAAAGTGAAAACAGGCTATTCACCTACAGTAATTACTAGATGAATAAGTAACTGAATTTTGGTTTGCAGTCGAAGATAATTGTGGCACTCACAAAAATTTAACAGAAATATACTTTCTTTAAGTAAGTCAAATGCTAGGAAAGGTGCAGGGTTTTCTTTCTTTTTTAATTTCTCAAGATATATAATGTTCCCACTCATGAATCCAACTCAACTGACAGCTTATCTCAACCGGGATTAAGTTTCTTGTAAACAGGTTGAATTCAAATTAAGAGCAAATGGTTCTGCTACCATTGGCTATAAACAAATACCTAGTATAGATGGAGCTTCGTATTATTTTCCCCAAAAGCCAAGAAACAAGCATTTTCTGGTTGAGCATCCATGAGTCAAGTTCTGTATTTTGAACATTATATTATGTTGCATCCATTACTATCAAGGCTAAAGCAATAATAATACTGAGGTTTTTTTTTTTTTGCATAAATATATTTTAATGGAATAAATTATTCCTGAAGGTGAAGTTGAATTACCAAAAACCTCACTGGCTTTGCATGTCAGTGGAAGTGTGGAACTGACACAGTTATAACTTTTTTGGAATGGATTTGCGGTAAAAGATAGTCTTCCAAAAGAAGGTAAATCTAAAGAACTGTACATAGTTTTATACTTTTTACTGCTTAATTAAACATTCATACAGCCAAATGCCAAACAATATGTAGTCAATGTTGGCCTGAGTAGGATTAAACCCAAGGGTAAAATACAGAATAGAAATAACTTTGGGCTTCATAAATTCTTTGTAGTATAACTGAGAGAATAGTATTGTAACATTTCTAATGTTAGTATCAAGAGTTAAGTCAAAAGCATAAAGAGTTTAACAATCAATCATAAAGATATAACACAAAGAGTCCAAACATTTTCATAATTCTTGGGGTAACTTCTATTCTTCCTACACTTTCATTTTCTGTTAGTGAAGTTTAGTCTCTGACTCCTTGACACAGGGTGTCTGTCTGTGTCAAGAAATAATCTCATGTTCCAAACTGGAACTTAAACACTAAACCATAAGGACTAAGGAGGACTATCAAATACTGAAAGATTACGAAATAAAGTGTGGAAGAACACCTTACAGTATGATATCACTGAACTATAATTATTCAATTAATATAACTGTAGTTCTTAGAGCTCAAATTAAGAATGAAGAAACAATATGACAACCATGGGTAGCTTTATAAAAATAAATCATTCTTATCTATCATTTTCAGTTAAAATGGAAAAACAATTTATTTATTCTGGAATGTTTTTCACACAATGGGTTTCTTTCCAAGTCACCTTACAAAATCCAAACATGCTCCACTGTCATTCCAGCATCCCCCACCCATGCTACAGGATTGCAACTGGGAGACATGGTGACCAGCTCCGATACCAATTGATACAATATAAATCTTAGGAGAACCACAATTCAAAAGCTAGCTATTGAGGTGGGAGAACCCAAGGCCATATGAACCCCACACCAGAATCCCATAGTTCTGATATGGGTTTCAAGTCAGCTTGCAATTGGGAACATAACACAGTACATAAAAGGAATTTTATCACTGGATGATCACTATCTTCTAACAGGATCAGTATGGAAGAAAAAAGAGACCATTCACGATCAGAAACTAAAATTGAAATTTCATCATTGGACAGAAACTAAAATTCAATTTCATTTATTTCTCCAAACATTAGACATCAAATCGACTAAATTAAACATACTTAATGGAGGCCAGCAAAATTAACGCATAATCAGCCGCCATTAAAGGAATCAGACTAATTAAACATGAAAAGAGAAGTAGAGATCAATATCAAAAGGGAAATTATGAGACTTAAACAGTCGAAATCAACTCATACTCACCCCTTTGGGCGTTGTCCTCAATGCAAAGACAGAGACTCGACTGTCTGGAAATCTGATGTTAGAAGAGGGAAAGATAGTGGAGTCTCGATCGCTCCATCGTGCGGGAAACCAACGATGAGGGTCATTATTCGCCGGCGGAAAACAAAAAATCCCCCGGGATTCGACGGAGATGTGATTGCGGATGGGAAGAAGTCAAGAAGCAGAAGTTGAAAGCATCGATGCATCTGGGACAAGGCCCATATGAAGTTCAACGAGGCCCAATGGGTCTCAATGGTCTAATCCAATAACAAAGACTTATCTGCAGCTCTTCACAGCCTTGTAGCTAACTTTTCTTTTTTATTGGGTCGGCCA